GGAAAGAAAATGAAATTCAGGATTAAAAGCCTTTGTTCTTAAATGCAAACAGTAAATCAACAAGAAAGTCCATTAATTTTTACTTGATTTCTCCACCCTAGCAGACAGACTCTGCTCTAACAGACACTCTGTACTCCCTACTACTCCTGTTACTCCTGAGGCAATATTGTTGTAGGCCCCACTTCTAAGGAAAGCAAAATTGAACACTTTTCAGATTCAGATACAGAAAAGAAACCACTGACTGCTAAAAACGTCACCTTCAACTCTGAAAGTACAATTTAGCCTTATGAGTTCATTTGCTATTTGACTTCGTAGCTGAAGTTGCCAAGAAATGATTCACCTTCCCAACTTATATAATCACTACTTATTAATTCAGAACTAGACTACAATTAACCGACTTAGGTCTTGACTTTCCACTAGACATGACAAATTTTATCTAATAACACATGACATGGCATTGAAGGGGGCAAATCAGGGAAAGAAATAAAGATATAATATACCCAAGAATTTTTTTCTTCTCTGAGGGGAAGCATGAAACAAATTACATTTCCTAGTCTTCTTTGGTTAGGCCTACTGGGTGCAATGTAGTGTCATGTTAAGAGATTTCTGAGATAGCACAGAGCAATCCCACATGCCTTCTGGCATTCATAGGGCTGTGCAGAGATAGACTAGTCTGGGTCCTCAGCAGCTGGGTAGCTCCATCAGCCTGACAGTCGTCTTGAGATAATGAAAAGTCAACACAAAGGTCTCAGTAACTGTTGGCATCTGCCTTCTAAACTCATGTATTTTAGCATTAAAGACACAAACACAGGTGTGTAAAGCCAGGCAGCCACAACAGTGAAGGGCAAGGGTCATCCTATTGTATGGCTTTTATGTAAGTGATACTTTCTATCATAAACAAGAACAGTGATGTGCTGACCTTTTAATTTCAGTTAAATGGTTTTGAAAATATTTTCTTTTTTTTTCCATGTACAGAAAATTTAGGAATTCTATTTTATATTTTCCTGCAAATACTTTTCTCTATTTTGTCTGCAGGGAGGGCCTATATTTACAATTAAAGTACATTACTGGTGCTAACACAGGAGTCCTTACAGTGAACAGAAAAGATTAATGATTTTATGATTCTATGATTCTATGCTTTTGAAGCCACCTGCTTTCCTGATGACTGTTGGTGTGATAGAAAATTGGAACCACCACATAATAGGTAAGTGAAAAGTGATGCAACTATGAATCATACTGCAAATCATCCAGTGCCAATGGGTTGTAATGCAGAATACTACATTTGTCATTTCCTGGTTCTGAAAGTGCGGGGATTTACATCCACACTTGCATGAACTTAATCTACATAGCTCATTCTGCACTGCCATGTCTTTGGAGACTACTACAACATAACATAATGAAGCCTGATATAATCTGATGTAGTGGTGTCACATAAATTACAAGAGACATCTTACTCAATCACCTACACACAGGATGTGAACACTTGTTCACTGATATAAATGAAATATTAATGGCAATCTGCATATAAGCACCAGAAGAAAGTCTTGGAAGAAGGGACTATGGTTTGAATTAAGAACATCCATTCATAGTGCTAAAATTGAGGGAAGTGCCATTTACATCATGATCAGGCCTGGACTCACATAAAAACATAGTGCACCCGGCTATTGAGTGGAATATCCTCTAAATCTGACAACAGGAGGATGATGGCAAGGTTACAGGACACCACAGGCACCAAAGAAACAGACTGTAGGCATAATGCTTTATATATTCCAAACAAGCAAAGCCAGATACTGACCTTGCCTAAAGATTACAGAGGCTGAAATAAGTAAGGTTCTGAGGCAAAGAACTGCACCCTAAGAACTGCTGATTGCTAAAGAGTGTAAGATATTTCTCCAAAAACAGAGCAAGAAGAACCCAAGAGACATGAAGACCTGCTAGTTGGTGTCCCTTATTCTGTGTTGCTCACAAATGATCCTGGCTTGATCAGACTACTTGATCACATCTCGATGCTTTCTATGTGGGTGTCAATGACATCTAAGAAAGAATGAGTGTGAGTGGGTAAAACTGACATACGTAGAGGTTCTGTAAATGAAAATAACCTTCCCCTTCCATAAGGTCTGTAATTGTCATGCTACTTTCATACAAGGAGAAATGAGCAAACTGTACGTTGCCAAAATCAGAGGTTCATTTTTTCTCTCATCTCTTGACTAGCAAAATAGCCACCCAGATCTCTCTGCAGAGGGGTGTGTGCAGGAGAACAAACTGTTCCTACTAGATGGTGACATCACAAACCTCTGCATTATTACAGGTGTGGCCAAAATATTCCATATTAGGATATCTAGAAACAAGTAAAGGCAGATTACACTGAACAGAACCCATGTCTAATTTAAAAAGGGAAGGAATATTAAGATAATTTTGGTTGTACAGGGATAGGGTTAGGAAAACCAAGGCAGGTCCATCAGTAGCAAAAAGGCAACTAAGGAAAATGTGGTTCTGTTGCTAAAGAGGCATGGACAGCATGGATGATGCTGAGATGCTCAGTGCTGCCTTTGCCTCAGTCTTGACTGATAATCCCAGGTGTCTGACATGAGAGGGAAAGTCTAGAGCAAGGAAGACTTACTCTCAGTGGAGGACGATCAAGTTAGGGAACATTTGAGCAAAGTGGATGTACACAAGTCCATGGTGTGAATTTATGTACTTCGGAAATAAGGCGCCTAAGTAATTATAGCAGTTCAGTCTAATTTCTCTCTGAATTTTAGAAGGTATTAAAGACAAGGAAATACTTGTGATTGAAAATGTCCCATATAAATCTATAAAAACAGCTACAAAACCTAAGACTGCAAGACAGTATTTCCAGAAATAATTTGAAATAGGATAAAACATCGAGCCATATAAAAAGGACAGGGACCTGCTTGAAAGAGTCCAGGACAGAGCCACAAAGATGATGAAGGGAGTGGAACATCTCCCTGATGAGGAAAGGCTGAGGGAGCTGGGTCTCTTTAGCTTGGAGAAAAGGAGACTGAGGGGTGACCTCATCAATGTTTACAAATACATTAATGGTGAGTGTCAGGAGGACGGAGCCAGGCTTTTTTCAGTGATGTCCAGTGACAGGACAAGGGGCAGTGGGTGCAAACTGGAACACGGGAGGTTCCATGTAAACAGCAGAAAAAACTTCTTTACTGTGAGAGTGACAGAGCACTGGAACAGGCTGCCCAGAGAGGTTGTGGAGTCTCCTTCACTGGAGACATTCAAAACCTGCCTGGACACGTTCCTGTGTGATGTGCTCTGGGTGACTCTGCTCTGGGGGGTTGGACTAGATGATCTTTCAAGCTCCCTTCCAACCCCTAAGATTCTGTGATAAAAAAAGTCCATCGTATACACCTGTAGACTGACACATGCATGTGCACACCTGCATACACAGACACATTCCAAACCTGCATATGTCTCATCCTTACAGCAAGCAGTCATTAGAAGTGGCAAAATATTCTTTTGCTACTAATAAATAAAATCAGTATTCGGGAAGATTTTAATCTATGTATCACAAACCAAATAATTTCAATAAAATGGAGAATGTGTTATTTCACCTAAAATTTGAATGACTGTTCTGCTCATACAGAATTCTGGAATACTTCTATTTTCAACAAGATTAATATTTTTTTCCCCAGGTGTGGTATTTCTTCAAGCAACAATACTGAATAATAATTGAAAGATGGTTAATTTAATCTCATGGAATTATTAAAAAAGTTGAGATGATCCTTTTTTGAGATTTCTCTTGCTCCAATGTCATAAACTTTTATAATACAATTTTATTCCTTTTCTCTCTTTTACATCAAATTATTTAAATTAAATCCATTATTATTTAGCTTTGATAATCCAGTTTCTGAATAAGAACAATATTGCAAGATTTTTAGTTTTTAATAATGGAATTTCAGTGTTCATTAAGCTTATTAGTAAGCTATTATGAACACTGCACTTTAAAAATTACGTTATCACTTTTTTTTTTTTTTGTAGAATCACACATTACACCACTCGTTATTTCTCAAGAAAACAACACTGCATTAGCATCAAACAGATCATCAGTGTGTTATGTTGCTTAGATACTGTACATTTCAAGTTTAATGCATTTTATGTAGGCATTTTACTTGCAAATAGCAAGCACTGCTTCACATAATACATACTCAGGAAATATTTGTTTTAATTCACAATTTACAACCTATTATGGAAAAGGAACAGTGTAGTTTCTTGAGACAAGGCTTTATATGTTCAGCAATATTAAAGCTTTGTCAAAATAATCAACACATACCTGTTCCCAGGCAAAGACATGTTGATTGAAGTAGAACTGAATTTGTTCATTGGCAATGTTGATACAGAGTTGCTCAAAAGAATTTTTTTTGAAGTTCTCAAAGCCAAAGATATCAAGAATTCCAATGTTCAAACCATCATCGTTTCCACTGCAAATATTAAATACACTTTCTGTTGTTGTATTTTTATTTTACAGTGATTAGCTTCATTATTACTTCACAAAAAGAAATAATGGGCCAAGTCTGTATGCCAGTTAAACAGAATAATTTTTGCTAAGCCAGCTTTCTCTTAAAATAATCAAATTTTGTTTGAAATACAATGAATGCACATAGATCAAAAGATGACTGTATTTGCAGACCAGACACACTCAATCACGTAATAATCAAATCAATTGATAAGTCTAGAGAGGATTTGAAATTGTATTTTCAAACTAACATTTGCTAGTTATTATTCTATTGTAAAAAACCTGACTACAGTACAGGAAGACTATGGAATTCTTTTTGTTTCTCTTGTAATAAATCAGGCTTTACTCACCAAAATAATGAAATTACAGATTGCTGTAATTAAATACAATTCCTTAATATTATTTATTCATAAAATTAAAACTGTTTATTTTAAACTGCAAATCAATAGAATGAAGAGCTAGACCTTTCATGGATCTAAATATCTACCTCAATATTGGAGTCTGATATGAATTTAAATTACCTATCAAGTTCCAGAGAAGTACTACTGGCGAAAAGTTCAGTTTGAAATTTTAGCTAAGGCATTCTGAGAGATATGTGATCATTTCTGCAACTGGAATAAAGCTGTAATATTTCTATTTATTTGCTAAAAAAAAAATTAAGAGGATCTAATTTTATATCAGACTTAAGTTGACATTATCTTTTTGTCCTAGGTAAATTAACAACAGAACACATTCCAGCTATAAAACCCCTTTGAGGGGCTATCTGTAATCACCCTTTTTTTCCTCTCCTATAAAACATATCGGAAATCAGATTTGAAGATCTAGCCTCAAGATGCTCATGAATAGTACTTGAACCTCTTTGAGAGGGGTGTCTCAAAAATGGAAGCATTTCATTATTAAGGGATCAAAGGTATTTATCAATTTTTAATTTAATTTGGTGACTAGTCTATCTGTCTGGAAATGAGTTTTTTTTTTGTGAACAGGCTGTTGAAACTTGTCTGCCCCATTCCTTCACAGAGCTAATTATGAAAAACTAGCAAATACAAATTATTTTGCCACCAGAAAGCCAAAGCAGATTTCTGGTGTGTTTTTTTTTTCTAGAGTAAACATTTCAGGTCAAACTTTCTCCCTCCTCACCAACACACTAAGTATTCAGTTTCATCCTGTCACTTATTGATTAAAGATCTGTGTATTGCTGCTCTGCTGTAACCTTAATCTTACTCTATCTTCATTCCCAATATGTTTTCTGTATGTTCATAATGTCACCCTGTAAGGGTAGGGTAGATATTAACCTCAGTAAATGTGTTTGGAAACTACTCTCATACAGGTATGAAACCATGCTCATAACAACAGCAACAGCATGGGTGCAAGTAAGAGTGGAATTTCACCCACCCATGTCACGAGCTGACTCTGCCTATCAGGAGAAATAGTATGAAGGAAAATGTAGTTAGCATTTATTTTTTAAGTGGTTAAATGAGTGAAGGTCAAACAGAAAAATATAACACCTATGCTATCCCTATCTACTGTATTTTCACTGCATACTATCAATAGGATAAAACCTTTTTAATGTGGTCACAAACAAAGAGGTAGCAGAGAAAAAGCAGATGAAAACACTAGTAGAAGTTAATATTTCCACAGAAAATCTCTCAAAATTCTGGAACAGCTTCTTTTACCTTAAATGCTTGTCAGGCTTGAGTAAAGTGTTGATGCGATTGACTATCCAGCTGAAGAGGCGCCCGTACAGAGCTTTGGCCATGGCATCTCTGACATCAGTGGCTTTTTCCACAGTGTTGGGACGAATAATTGTCTCTCCTCGAGTCACTACACAGTGAGAGGTGAGGGCCTCTTGCAGTTCATCTGCCTGAATACACAGCAAGGATGCACCTAGGAAGGAAGGGCACAGAAACAGCTCAGAGGCAGATTTTGGAAGGAAAAATAAGCATTTTTGTAACCAAGGCTGCAAGTGAAACATATTATGAATAAGGGGCAAATAAAAGTCTTGAACTATGACAAATGAGGGTGTTCACACCAAGCAGCTGTCAGTATCTAATTTAGTCACCAGCCTTCCTGGCTTCCACTGCAGTCAATGAGTAAGTGATTCAATGCAGATGCCTTTAGGATCTAAATTGTTTTATCAAGTAGGCTATTTCCTCAAACTGTTTATGGAGAAATGCTAGGGAATCCAGCTGAAAATGTCAGTGGTATGTGAGGTGTGAATATCCCCTTCAGTTATAACCCAGCCATATAATTCATTGCTGTCTTCCTTCTGCTCCGAAAGGGATGCTTCTTTCCCAGTTGCACAACATTTTTCAATCTATGGCAGGAAAATGTGAAAGAAGATATAAAGAAGACTTAAGTATCACTCCAGCTGTAATTACTGAGAAAGAGCAGTAACTTCCTTGAAAATCTTTGCCTACTTCCCTCCTCTGCCTCCCTGTAGCCTATAATAAAAGGTCTCTCTTCCAGAACATTAGTGAGCCATATTTCAACAGGCACATGCAAGAAGCAAGTAATGAGTATCTGAGAAACAAACTGGGGAAAAACATATGCAAAGTGTCCCTGAGGTTCTCCATCAAATGTTCAAATAACCTTGGAAAAAATCCTCTTAATTTCTTTTCAGGCATCTGCAGTATTAGTTGTGTTTCCTGAATGCCAGTGAACTGGTTAGTCAAATAAGATGCCTAACATGTAGATTTTTTTCTTTTTTCATTTGAATTCAGGTGGGCTTGGAATTAATCTATCTTCAGCAGTTAATTAGTCTTGCAAAATTTCGACATAAATACAGTTTTCACTGATCATTCTCTTGCAATAAAATAAATATTCTGTCAAAGTACTAAATGAAAGCAATCTTAAATCAAGAAAAAACACTCACAATTCTCAAGGGCTACTGGGTTGGAAATGTTGCTTTTGTCAATCATGTGTTCAGATACCACTGCAGAAAATTCAATGTTACCCACATTTAAAATGGCAGCCAGGATACTGTACACGCTTCCAAGTTCCTGCAAAGTATATTTAAAAAGGTGCAACACTTAATAGCCAGACAGATGATTTGACACTTCGGTTTGTGTGATGGGCAGGCATGTGTGCTGTTCCCTAAGTCTGGAACAATCAGTGCCTCTCTCTTGTCCACCACATGCCCACTATTTTATTATGAATACTTTTTTCAGTATAGTTTTCCAAGAATATTTCGTTTCACACCCAAGGTGGACAAGATAAACTACAGCCTAATCTCTGTTCTATACTTTCCTACCAAGACAGGATTGACACAGGGTAAGGGAAGCACAAAACAGTGGTGAGTGCAGTCCTCTTACACAGAAGGAATTCAGAGGTTATTTACAGCCACACTACACTGTGTCTGCAGGTATAACTGTATCTAAAAATGTAATAACTACATCAACAAAAATTTCAAAAAAATCTGTGTTTCTTGGATCATGGAAACAAAGGCACTTCAAATAATAGATCTACAGAAGCTCCCGCCAACATCATCAGAAAAAGTTTCACTGGCAGAAGAATGAGACCTCACATGTCTGATTTGAAAAGGATTTTATGCTTCAAAATATCACATAGGAATCATGTACTCACCAAAGCACCTCGGTACAGACTTTACTTACACATATTTAAATTTCAAAATTTTTAGTAGGTTCTGAAGAGGGATTCTGCCTTGAGAAAGGACTAACTTTAGTCTTGACATTGAAGGGGTATGTAGAGTAAATTATTTTAAATACTTATGTATAACAAATAACATAATATTTGCAATTAATGAAATAATGCTTTCATATCAGGTTTGACTCAGAGTTGAACTGTGAATGTTTATCAGTATACTTGATAATATCTGAGTATTTTCTACTCATAAATGCTAAGATGTTGTTGTAAAGTAGACTATGCTTTAAGCTAGGATTCTGTGATACATTATATACTGAGGCACACAGCAAAAGTATATTTTGTAAGTAGAAGTTTTATAAGTTTTCTTAAGAAGCAGTTTTGTAAATTTGCAAATTTGATTTTGTAAGATGGACTTTATCTCTACTCTTCAATATTTGCTGGTTCCATGTCAGGCATCATTTACTCAGATAAAGTCCTTAATTGCTCTAGAATACTTGATCTTGTTTTCAACACTTTCAGAAGTTAATCTAGCAGTTAATAGATTAATTATTGCAGTGACAGCAAGAAAAACTAGATAAACTTAATCGAGAAAAATATTCTCAGGATAATTGGGGCACAGTTTACCTATATTTCAAGCAATCATTTTAATTTTAAGCTAAGGGACACAGACGAAATGTAAATAAATGGACAGCTTAATTTCTGCCATTATGCTGTACAGTAGTATAGGTGCTGACATTTTTGTGCCCTTTTCCAGTATGTTTGAAATCTGACTTGATTTGTCTCATACAGCACTATTACTCTTCACCTCAGGCAATCCTTTCCTATTATTTTTGCCAGGCAGCCTGAAACAAAACAGTGTGACTTTAAGACAGGGAGAACTGACAGTGGTTAATATTAAAGCCTGCCAGTCAGTTTAAAACTAATTTCAAAGAACTAAAGCCTTGTTTAGGTCTCAGTTTTAACTGCAGTGGAGAAGATACTCTGTCCTAGGTTTTCTGCTAAGAAGACACGGAACATGCTTATATAGAACCTCCTCTGTGTACTGGGATGAATGTCACAGCTGCATTACTAAAAAGTGAACACAGAAAAGGAACTAATTGTCTTACAGGATCTTTTTGTTACTGTGAATAAATTGTTTCTGCACATGTATCTTACATCAGAACCCCTGTGGAGGAAGAGGACTTCTATGTTCATTCACTCTAGCCAGAACAGCCTCAGACAGACTAATTCACCCTGTGGAGAATGTAGGACAGGCTAACATGGATGGGGCTCACATGGAACCACAGTTAGATTGCCTGTAGTACTCAATCTGCTTCTGAAGCTGTGGGGGTTCAACAGGTAGATAATTCTTCACAGATTCAGCTCATGATGGCTTGCTGAGTTAATCAACTGAAGGTCCATGCTAGAACTGCAATGCAGCCAGTGACCTCATTCTGACTGGATCTTCAATGTGTAAGGAAGGTCTTCTCTTTTGGATGATCAGGATTTTTGTTTCCATCCATCCAAGTGAACAAAAGAATTAGAAACAAAAACAGACTTGCAGCTAAATGAGGACTTTTCAAGGTCTCTGGCACTGCAATAAAAGAGCTATCAGTGCTGAACTGTGCATAACTTCCACCCTGCTTCTGGAAAGGTGAAAGTACAGGAGTGAAAAAATGTGTAATATTGCAGGTGTGATATTAGAAAGTGCAGTTGTGAATAAGCATGTAGAGGAGAACTCTACTGCTACTATGATTAAATGGAAAATAAGTATGGAGGAATAGAACAGGTGAATAAATATGTTCTATTAGCTATTCAAATATTTACATTGAGGGAAACCAGAAGCATTCAACTGAAGTGAGTAACTTTTTGTGAAAAGTTCCTTACAATATGCTGTTTTGTCAGAGAAATTAAAACACAACATCCATTCTGCATCACTAGTGCTGTATTTCACAGAGTCTGCATGGATCATCACTACTATCATTTGTGATAAATAAGGTCACTGGTCAACTACAGCTGTGATGCACCACTTCTCCTAAAAAGAGAGAACTAGGGTTCAGGATGGGGTTTCCTTCCCTTGCATCCTACTTTTTAAATCCAGAAGCCTGTTTTTATTTTAATTATATCAAAGACAGTCTGAGGAGAGGGGTTTAATGGACAGCAGAGCAATGATATGAGAACATAAAGAAAGAATGGGTTCAGTTAATGTTTAGTAATGAGATTCACTCCAAAGGGATGTAAAAACTTCATTCAACTTTGCCCCTGGAGTTGTGGAAATGTATTGAGTTCATCAAAACTCAGAGAAAATAAATGAATTTTTAGAACTCTCACTATGGACTTCATCTTAAAACAGAGATGAGGCTCACATTCGCAGGCCTAAAATTATAGGCTATTAAATAGTTTAAAAAACATTTTCTATGCATTTAGTTTGCAAAACCCCTTTTTTTCCCCAATTACTCAGCTGTGCTGTGTTCACTCATTGGAATTCTTGTTGACTAATACAATTTTATTAGTGTATCAGTGCCTTGAAACCTTAATAATATAAATGTGGTAATATAACAGTAAGTTGACCATGCAATATTCTAAAACATAAACACAGTACTGTGAAAGGAAGAAAATAACAAAGGAGAGTATTTGAATGCTTTATGTAAGTTTTTCCTGATGAAGGTAGCAAAAAAATTTCACACAAAAAAAAAGAGTTATCAGCACTCACCTCCAGTGTAAAACCTATGACTTTGAAGCACTGTTCAATTAATTCAAACTGAGACTTATAAAAGCTATTGTTCATGAAATCTTGCACTATTCTGAAATGATCGTTTTGCAGATATCTGAAAGAGTTGATGGATACAGAGTTAGAATGTAAATGAGGTTGAGAATCCAACAACATCACATTTCTTAGTAATCAATTTATGTAGAAACAAACTCCATTACCTGGGAGGTCTATACTCTGGCAGTTTATAATGTGCCAGTTTTTTCTTTTCTGCCAGACCAGCATAAATATAATAAAAAATATGGAAATTTTTCTCTCCTCTGAAACAATAAAAACAACAAAATTGTTTAGTAATGCAACTACATTACATTAACTGATGACATACATGCTATTACTAAATGTTATTTTAATATCAGGCAAGGCTCATTCAAACTGACAGAGGACCCTGAAAGGAGCTTCATTACACAAGTTCCTGTGAAATGAACAACCTTTCTGTGCCATAGCGTGTTTGTTTGGAAGCTGCCAGGGCAGTAGCTCCACCTTTGATGCAACTGGGAGATGCTGGGTGAGATCCTGCAAGTCACTCACACACCCACATTAAATGGGCTGCTTAACCTCCAGTTCTTTCAAAAATTCTTCTGACCATAGGAGAAGTCTATACTCCTGATTCACTGAATCCAGTGTATTTGCTGTGTGTTTTAGCCCTGAAACAAGAAAGCACTTAGCAGACATTCTGCTAAGGGCTTTCTGACTTGAAATACTTTGCCTTAAAGTTAGGTGCCCAAATCCAAGACAGGTTTCTTTGCACATTCAAAGTTACTATGCACCTTATGAGGAAGAACTAGATGCTTCGGTAGAAATTTGCAGCCACCGCTGAACCCTCAGATGGCCAAGTCAGTCACTATGGAACAGCAAAAAGGATTTGTCTTCAAACCCCTGGTTTCTGCATGAGGTGAGGTGTGTCTCAGGAACACCATTACATGCCTCAGGAGAGCCCAGTGAACTCTCTTCAAGGGAGTGCTTAGATCAGAGTCCAGTGCCAACTTAGTTTGCACATTTTACTGTGGACAGTCAGTAGCAAAAAACAAGCTCAATTTAAGAACAGGAGCACATCCCTTATGTTCTCCATCGGTGTCTTAACCATGAGGTTGTACAGCCATGCTTTTTATGTTCTGTGAAACCTCACTGTGTCCTGATGGTTTGTGTAGTCTCTTGGAAAGGTAGGAGAACCTGTAAGTTCAAAAGATCTTGGCTTGAAGTGGGTCTGGAACTTGGATCTCCCATTTTCTGGGTAAACGTTCACTGGTTTTCTGCAAAAAGTATTCCTAGCTCTCCATTTGAGTTCGGGAGTCACGTTCTCTTAGAAGAGTATAAAAAAACTGCTCTTGCAGTGCAGGCACCTGAATGCCAGTTCTCTGCCCTGGCATGGCTGTATGGACCAGCCACATACAGACCTCGGTGAAGAGGAGAGCATGCTCAGCACAAACAGCTTCAGGTGTTCTTGGAAGTTCATGCCTCTAAATTTAGCCTCTTACAGTGGCTCTGCTCTAATGCTAAACACTTTGCTGGCATTTTCCTTGTGAACACAGAAATCTAAACATCTACCTAAGCAGCATGTGAAGCATGTAAAAGTTTTGCTGACTTCCTGTCTCAGCATGTGTCTAAATATAACTAGGAACTGACAGCACAGAAAAAAACCTATGAAAAATTATGAAAAAGTGGTATTTTTAAGCAAAAAGCTGATTTTATTTTGAAAAAGGAGTTGTTGTGCTTTATGTTTGACTGGGAAATAAACCACTATTTCATAAAATTGACTCTAACTTCAAATTGTTTCTTGAAACCCTCCAAGGAATACTTAGATGATCCTCATGTCACAGATCTACAATAGGCAACAAGGTTATGTGGAACTACAAAAAGAGCAAAAGTGAGTGAGATCAGCAAGGGGGAAAATTTAACTCAGTGAAAACATTCCTCGTCTTAAACTCTGTTTTTCCCACTGTTATGGCAGAAATAGAGTTGTCAAAATACTTTTTATCTGGATGAGTTTTAAATATTAGGATAGAAAATACATTTCAGTGATTTAAATTAATTGGAACTGACACTTAATTTTTCTGCCATTTCATATTATGACATACACACATGACAGAGATGGATCTGTACTACATTGGTCCATAACCTTTTATAACCAAATCCTACTAGATACTCTAAAATGGAAAACAAGCACTTTGCAAACAAAAGCTACAATACTAGAGGAACTGTAGAGGAATTAAATTGAACAGATAGACTTTACCCAATACAAAAAACTTACTTCAAAAGTCCACAAAGAAATTTATAACTGAACTATCAGAAAGTTTTTAATACTTAATGCATTCTCATACACTTTATATTATCACATATACATTTTTATGAAATGTAACTAATCCAGGAGGCAATTAAAAAAAAAAAAAAAAAAAAAGTTGTGTCCAGATAGTTTACAGATTTATAAGCTATTATTACATTATTTACAAGAAATTAACCCAGTAGTTTATTAATCTTTGTGTTTTGTCCCACGATAATTTCCTGTATTGTAGGCTTGCTCTGTAAACCCCAGATTAGGTCAAGTATTATTTTTATACTTACACTGCCTGGTGGACAACTCTGGATTTTTCAAGCAGATACTCTGAAATCTGAGCTCCTACTACAGTGCCACCACAAGTGAATTTCATTTCCAAGTATTTCCCAAACCTGCTTGAGTTATCATTGATGATAGTGCCTGCATTTCCAAATGCTTCTACAAGGTTATTCACTTGGAGGATCTTCTCCTGTAGAGTCCTGTTATTAGCCTAGATACGAAAAAGATATTGCTTTAAATTATCAATAATCATTCAAATACATTAAGTGTTTTTTTCCTCTTCTAGTTGGTATTAGGAAGTGTGACATCACCAGCCATTTCCATGCGAATCATATGGGAAGAAAGGAATGTATATACAATGAAATCGGCCAGAACAGCAATGTAGGAATCTGCTGAACTAATGGCTGGCTGGAAGAGATAGCACACAGAATGATAATGACAACATCAGAACTAATCAATTTCTGTGGTCCAGCACTTGGAGGTGGCCAGCCTGTTTTTATAATCCCTGTTAGCACCTGCTTACTGCTGTGCTGTACCACACCAACAGATCAGTTTGCTTGCATCTCACTTGGGACATGAAAAAGTGGCATTTCATTTAGGCAGTTACAGTGGTCACTTCCCAGAATGACCATGTCCCACTGACAGCAATCTGGTTGTGGAAGGAGGTCAAAAACTAGAAAAGGATTTTACTTAGTGCAGTTTGGGTGATTTGAAGATGCTCTGTTAAAACAACAGACTGAATAAGTCACAGCCTTCATGGCAGTGGGTACTTCTTTGTTGGATCCCCAAAATATTTCCCACCATAAGCATCATGTTCCAATCTGACCTTATGGAAGTTCTTTGGAAAATGTCGTGTTCCCCTACCAATACCAGGTACATAGGCACAGTCAATCTGGCCCAAGACAGTGAAGCCTTTCTGAGGCAGCCCCTTTGAAACACACCTTGCCCAGGACAGTGAGCTGTTGAACCAGCAGATGGGCACTTTGTGTCTTGCCAGCTCCACTTTCTCCAGAAATAACGATGCACTGCAGAGAACAAGAGCAGGAGTCTGAGCTCACCACATTATATCTCAGTCTCACAAAGGATATAATTAAGACACCCCATCTTTACCTGATCAGAGTTGTATGTCACCATGGACTGATAACCTATATCAGCAACAGCAAAAATATGAGGAGGGTTGGCAGTCCTTTTGGCTCCAATATAGAGTTTGGAATGCTAAGTTTAAGAAAAATGAAAATATTATCAGTGTCCCTTAATTTTTTTTTGTACTATCTTATCAAAGTTTAGTTTTATTTTCAGATTATTATACAACATGAACTTGAAGGGACAACAGTATTGATAATCCTGTTTTGCACAGTGAAGTAAAGTAAATCTCAAGAATAGTCTTACTTTATGCTGAACACAAAGAGTGATATTTTATTGGAAATCACTACTAGTTTAAAAGAACCAAACCTAGGTTTTCACACCTGTGAAGAATAAATATCTATGTTCCGAAATGGATTGACAGCAATGAGAATGTCCCCAACATATGTATAGATCTGATCCTTGGCATAACTCTTCTGCAACTGCTCCGTTACTGTATTCTGAGGGAGAAAGAACATTGAATCACATGAGGGAAAAAGAATATTAGGAAAATGTATACATTATTTATAGTGAGGATAAAGAGGGAAGGTATTAATAGTCAGGAATACGACTGATCATGCCCTAAAGTGATTAACACTTTTAAACACACTGGCAATCCTGATTTCTTGTGTCCAAACTCACTTGGAACAATATATACTTACAGATCCCCAAGGGGCTGTAGAAAAATGAGTTACTAAATTCTGCTTTAATTCAACTAATCAAAGGTTTCCATGAGACAGTCCTGTCTTCATTTTAAACACCACAGAAAGGTCCATCAGTGACATACCCTATTTCTTGACATAATTTCCCTCAACTTCTTCACAAAAAGCTGGGTATGCAAGGTGCCTGCTTAGGTTTCCAAACAAAACAGGACATAAATCTGGCAGAAGAAATGCAACCAGCTTTTAGACTATTCTGTGGTACATGTGAAAGTATTTAGGCCCTGTTTTCAATGGAACAGAATGAGAGGTAAGAGAGGACTACAGAAACAACTGCTTTCCCTCCTCGTCCATCTATTAGGTTTTGTCCATTGCTTTCTGTTTAATGCACTTAAAACCTGAATTCTCAACAGTTGGAAGAGGTTACATTTCCTTCACAGGAAAGCATAAGGAGAAAATCTTGGTTTTCTACTGTCTTGATAAATTCTTCCCTTTCTAGTTTTAAATCATACTTTGATTTTGGTCATAACCACAGTTATATTACAGAATAATTTAGGTGAAGTTCTGCCCTTTTTGAAATTATTTTTGCATTGATAGCCAAAATACTGGAAGGTAAATATGCTTACATCTGAGCTTTGTGCAGTAGACAAAGCCTGGATTAGTATTAACTGAACATTAACTTACTTTATCCAAGAGGTATACCAGCTCAAGAGTGACATTTAGTATCCTGGACTGATGAAACAATATATCACAGAAGTTTTAAAGATAGTAGGATGTGAATTATAGACAGGTAGAGGAAGAATGACACGTTGTTTACAAACACTGATGGCCTCTAAGACTCACAGATAATGTGTCGTGGCCTAACTCTTTCAGGTTTTAAAGTATAAACAGAACAGATTTCCCTCCTCCCTTATGCATGTTCCCCTGCCCCAAGCAGATTAATTTTCAAAGTCTGAAAAACCAGTGAGATTTGTATTAAGAATTTTGTTAAAAGTTCACCAAAAGACACTGGTTGGTCAGAGCCTCATCTGACAATAATGGATCTCAATGCATCTCAACACCAAAGTAAGTCACTGGGAATCCAGCCTAGGAGAGTATGGTAAGCTATTTTAAGACAATTATAGAAGTCTAAGCAACAGGGGAAAAGGTGCTTTTCTTGGACCTGGACCAATTTCAGGTTAACATATTACAAACTAGATATTTAGCTGTAATAAAATCAAGCAGTATAAACCCTGTTAAGTAAACAATGCTAAAATACTGCTCAGTCTGAGGCTTTAACTGCAGAGGGTGTTTTAGCATTGATTTGGAATAATTCCTGACACAGAAAACCTTAATTAAAATATTTGACATAAACTGGTAAAATGCCATGGTACATTTACACAATGAAATGTGATTACATAGTTGAACTTGGAAATTAACACCACACCAGTGTGTTATAATACACGATTACCTCTCTTCAAGAAAAAGTGAACAGGTATGTTCTTACCTCATCCAGTACCTCCAAGGTTGCTAAATCATCTACCTCTTCCTGGTTTGAAACAAGTGACTTACTGTAGTTCCCTTTCTTTGTATGAATGCGTTCAAATCTAGGAAAGAAAGACATGCAATTTCCTTATGAAGGAAACACAGAGCACATCTTGCATTTGTAATGATCTTGAAGGCAATTCAGCCAAAATGTTTCAGCTTTCCATTGTTCTGAATTAAAACATGAATGTTTGAATAAGAGGACAGGATATAATTTTTTAATACAGCACACCTGAACTTGCAATTCAAAATCTATGGTTTGATCCCACAACTGATACCATGAAGAACTTTTTCAGTGTACAGATCCCTTCCTCATCACACCCCTACATCAGCTTCAGGACTGGAGCTATGCAGTGCAGTAAAAGAAGAATATATTTATAAAACACAGAGCAGTCAAACTCTGGCATCTACCTGTAAGAAGGAAAAATTACCCAAATAGTTAAAAATAATGGCTGGAACAAAACCAGGGGTGTATGATGAAATAGTGTGGCAAAGATTATGCAGATAAAGTATTCAGGGTGGAAGTACTTCTAACTTAGTAATGACAATTCTCTAAAGCCTGGCTGAGATGGTCAGCCATCATTGCAGAGCAAAGTGCTACAGAACCACTGGGATATGTGTAATATATCCTGATGAAAAATTTTCTCAGATTCTCCAGGAAAAAAAAACAACCAACAACAAAATAAAGAAACAAAATTTCAAATATTTTTCTTATCAGCGTGAAACTTTAATTAAATTTGTCTTAAAGAGAAATTTCTTTTCTGTTTTAATCAAACAAGAAAACTTTATGCAGTCTTACAGAAATGAGCAAGAAAATTCCCAGAGACTTGGATCATTCTCTATCCAAGAGTAAAGGCATTGCTAAACAAAGCAAAAGCAGAAGAAAATGCAAGGTTACAATTCACATTAGTTATATTAGCTTTATGAGATGGGGAAAAATCAGGGAAAGGGAAACTGGATAAGTCACAGCAGAGCTCACAAACTCAATCAAGATCAGATGTGCAATACAACACATGCACAGAAAGACCACCAAGTAAATCAGATCTCCTGATATGACCTCACTCCCCTTGACACTACAGGTAGGAAGGTGCCTCTCAAACACATGGAACATATACCTTGGTAAACTTAAGACAGCAGAGAAACTATTTTGTGTGAAACACACTCTTTACCTTGATTCCAGAAATGACCAGGAACATCCTGTATTTAATTTTGACACTTGGACATATGGCACGAGTAAAAGCAGATAAGTGTTTTCTACCCAGGCAAAAACTTGAATATACAGTGACCAGCAGATGGGCAAAAGAAGGCAGCTGCACCAAGACAGAAAGCTAGAGAGAATGAGCATCATGCTGATGGGACAAGCTAAGTCTTCTGAACTCCCACAGTAGGATTTACTGCAGAGTTTACTGGGCTGTATCCACTCCACGAATACCACCTACTCCATGGGTGCTATCAGGTCATGAAGGCTGTGCACTGATGTGGGATGCAGGTGCAGAAAGTTAAGTAGGCAACCAATTGGCATCAGTTAGCAGTTGCCGGTCTGAAAAGAGGCTGGAAGAAATGGGCAAATAATGGTCTCCCAAAGTGTGACTGCAATCAAGATATGAATGATAGAACCACAGGCACGAGTGCTTCACCTAGCACTTTTTTCAGCTCTCTTGCCTCTAATGATCATTCCCCAATGGTGGCAGAATGGCTTGTCACCACCAACATGCCAGTAATGGAGCAATTTCTTCCTCCCTTAGGCAGGTGCCAGCTACCATTGTAGTCTTTCCAGTATCCATAGTGCTAAGGTAGGAGTTTCACACCCACAGCTGACTAATTCTGCAACTTTAATAATCAAGACACAAACACACAAGACTTCATTGCAGGAGCCAGCATAGTTGGATGGTCTCTGCACCAGTACTGCAACCCAGTACCCCATGTGGAGGCCAAGTGAGCTGGAATCACATGAACAGTACAGATCAACAGATTCCACATTGCTCTGATGGAAGAAAGAGACCAAGTCTTGTTGTTTTTGCACCGCGTATTTTGCAAACTACTCTCAAGCTTTCATTAGAACTGGGGAGTTGCATGGGAAAGCAATCCTCTTCCAAATGTTTTCTTTCCTTCAGTATTTACCAGAGGCCAAAGACTGCTTGTAGATACAGTTTTAAGGATGATGGTGAGGATGAATTTCACATGTGAAAAGCAACATGAATACTGCATAGCACAATACCAGACCCTTCATACTGCCATGCAACACAGAACATGCACATGGGCTTATTCCAACATGAGCAGTACAAACAGAAAGAGATGCAAGAAAAAGTATGTCTGTGTGGGGGAACAAAGGCAGCTTTTGCTGTACTCAGTCCATAACTTGCCTGTCATTTGGTATGTGTTTAAATATGTTGAAGCAGAAAACACATAGGAACACAAGCAAGCAGCATCAAAAGGGATGGGTCTTGTGTAAAGCAATTACACATCTCCTAGATCAAACCTCTTCTTCCCTTCTTTTTTGCATCCTATTTGTACCGTGAGAGCTGTCCTGGTAGTACTGTCCTTGCAATAACACTGAAGCAAATTTTCATTGTATTTACTCCCAGGTTATCCTTAAAAGGATGTGGCAATATTAACATTTAAATTAACTCTTCAGCCTTGCAAAATCTGCTGCTTGATTTGCACTTTCTAGTTAAAGGATACTACTGCATTCAAAACCAGAAGTGCAAGAAAATCCCACCCTCTCAACAGAAATCTCTCCCTTCTATAACCCACATGCCTATTTATACCTAAATTTTAACAGCTTCATTTGAAAATCTAAATTTGGACAGCTGAAACAAGTTTTCCTTTATTCCTGCAAAAAGGCCATTTTGTGTCCAGAGGATGCACCCAATACCAGTATGTCTCTGAGGAAGACCTAGCAACACGCACGTGAGGGAAAGAAGCGGGAACTGCAGGACTACATCAAGCACTGCCATTCTATTTTTTCCATTGCTGAAGGAAAACCCAAAACAGGACATCTGTCAAGTTACACTTTCTATTTCTGGTGGAATGGTAACACATTTAATACACCTTCTTTTTTTTCTTTTTTTCTTTTTTTTTTTTTTTTTTAATGCTACACATATTAGGTGAGACATTGGTATTTCCCAAGTTTTGTTCCAACTACCATTTATCATGTAATGTAGGAAGTCAAAAAAATACCTTGCAGGAAGGGAGGGGAATGCTCCTGTCATGGTTACTTTCCTTTCTCTATTATTATTTTTTTCTTTTAGGAAACAATCTCTATGCCAGGGAAGTTTAATTACATAAAATTGATTCTTCTGTAATCCTCTTCAGCTGACACTGTAAGAACACTAGTGCTTGTTAAACCAGATTATGTTCTCCATTCTCAAGAGTACTGCAGAGTGGCAGATTTGCAGAGCACAATATTTTTCTGCTTTCTGTCAAAGGGCACAGACCCCTCAAGGGCAGTTATACTGCTTCACTTTCTAATAGTCCAGCCACTTAAAAAACCCCCCACATCAGTGCTGTTGACATCAATGCTGAAATTTCATTATCGTCATGCACATAACATTGTGAACTGAAATAACCATCTTTCTCTCTTCTGTTCAGAAATTATTTGTTGAAGGCATTAGATCTTACAGCCATGCTCAATAAGCAATTCAAGCAGCTAACGACCAGAAACATCAGCCCAGTATGGACAAGAAAATGAGGCAAGGCAGCATTGTTTCTGTGCATGTTCCTTCACAACCCCCCACTTATCTTTCAAAACTCAGTTAAATCAAAATGTGGCAATTGCAGCTTTTTCTTCCTCAGATTGTCAAAATGTATTTGAAAGATTTCTGATAGTTCCAAAAATATCATTAAATGGGAAGTGTGACTCATGATCCCCAGTTGAACTTTGCCTAAACTGGCTGGAGAATCATCTACAGACTAAGAAGTGACAGGAAAGAGGATGGCCTTAGTCTGGGTGTAAAGAAATTAAAAATAACCAAGTTTTCTGTAAGGTGAAGGTGGGAACAGCTGTACACCTCCCAGCAGTTACAAACAGCATTAAAACAGACAAACAGAAAAGCAGTAGCATGGAGAAACGTGTACAAGTTCTGTCATTGCTGATGATTCTGTTTCACTGGAGGCTATACAGAGCAGTATTAATTTACACTTAAAATAAAAAAATTGTCTTCAACAGATATATCTGGTTAAATATGCACAAATGAAACTTTAGTCTTTTACCTATACAAAATCTGTACCTGAATTGAGAAAAGCCTAGTGATAGAGTCCAGCTGTGTCTGCACCATCTTTTGCAGACAAACCTGCGCTCCTTCTATGTTTGAAGGATTGCACAGCACCAGCTGTAGTCTCAGGGAGCTGTGCTCAAGCTTTTGCAGTGTTGCTGAGAGCAGGGTGCCCAGCAGAGCTACAGGGCTTTTGATTCAGAGGTGGCCCATGCCCGGCCAGCAGGGTCACGTCTGTCCTGCACAATCTGTTTGCTGAAGTCTGTGTTGGTTGATCATGCCCTGCAAAAACTGCATGCCCTGCCGGGCCCTGCAGATTACTGGTCCTTCATAATAGGCTCATGAAATGGCTGTATCGTCTGACAAATTTCAGGGGAAAATATGCGCTCTTAATGGAGAAAACAAGAGATTTCTAAAAGGACTTATCTGGATTAATTTTTTTATTGCACTCATGCATCAGGCCCTTACTCTGCGCCGAGAACCACACTGAGAAGAGGAAGGGAAAGCTTCAAAAGTGAGCAACGCCTGGTGAGGTACCCACCTTCAGGAGAAACGAGCTGCTGAGCATGTGGACTGACAGAACAGTAAAATTGCAGTTGCAGAGCATTACTCCCAGGGAGTCCTAGGTGCAGGAGGAACTCCTTTCACCAGTTTTTCTTCAGCAAGTAAACCATTCTCCATTCAGGCATTGCTATTGCCCATTGTGTTGTATGGAAGGAGACTATTCTGCTATAAAGGTACATACTAGCTAGAAGCCTGTAGGACTGGAGATCTTTTTATTCTAGGGCCTGTGTCACCAGAAACTCTTTATTGCTCCTACAGCCTGAGAGCAGTTCTCAGCATAGCCA